ACTCCTGCACGTGTCCGGAGCAATGTGCGGTCGGGCCCGCTTCTCCCAGCGCGCGCCAAACGCGCGCACCCTCCGGCCAGCGCCGCCGCTCCCGCGCGTCTCGTCGCCGCGGGCGGATGCAGCACGCGCGGAGGACGAACGGGCGCAAAGTATAAGGGATGCAATTTCCAGCGCGCCGGCGTTGGCTGGCTGTGCGCGCACCGGTGTGGCGGGCGGCCTTGCAGCCAGGAACATGCTTGCGTGCCTGGCATTGGCTGAGAGGATGAAGGACAGCCGCGGCGCATCCCGGCCGCAAAACGTGGCCTGGGTGCGGGGAGGCACGTGGTGGCATGGGAGGCAGGCAGAGATGAAGATCTCAAGTCGATCCCCACTGCTGCGTCGTCGCCGGCTGAGCAGCGGTGTGGCCGTCAGCCCGGCGCGCAACACGTGCGGCAACGCATGCGACAGGTCAGCTTGCATGCCCGCTTGCAGGCGACAGGACTCATAACAGCCAGCCGCCCGGCTGTCTGCTTGCGTACGTGCAACACCCACCGCGCGCCTGTCCCCGCCCCGCTCCCCTCCTGCCAGCCTGCCCCGACCCGACGACGCCCGGTGGAGCGGCGGTTCTAGAATGCGACGCCCGGCCACCTTCTGCACCGCAGGCGGCAGGTCTCATCGCGCGTTACACGGCAACGGGGGCGTCCTGGCCGCCGACGAGGGCCAACGGTGCTGCAGCTCTGAAACCCGGGTCAGCACTTTGGGCCGGGCGCAGGCGTGTGGGCGGGCAGAGCTTGAAGAAAACGTGCTAGACGGCTGCACGGCCGAGAGCGCCCCGGATGAGAGCCGAATGAGTTGCAGCGGCTCTGCGCCGGCTGCCACTGGTGCAGTTGGGGCGCAAGGAGAGAGCTGCTGCTGGCGAGTCTGACGGCAGGCGCGGCGGCCGGGCGAGTCGCACCCACGCCGCCTTTTGGCTTTCTGTGCCCGGCTGTTGCCCGCTCTCCCTGCCCGCCCGCGGCGGGGGCCCCTGGCGGCTCGCACGCATGCATTCCAGCGCCCTTCGCCGCTTCTCGAACTGTCGCGCGCCGCGTGTGAGTCTGCCCGCCCGCTCCAGCTCCCGCAGCGCCGCAGGGCAGCAGCAGCGCCGGCGCGCGCATGGCATGATGCAGCGCGCGCGGCCGTGCTCGCGGGCTTGGGCTGCTTGGCGTGTCAGAGTGACAGCAATACGAACCCACTTATCTTGTGACAAACTCGATCTTGCAAGGATTATCGCGTGGGAGCCACAGGGGCCGAGGGAGGCGGCCGCTGTGGCCGGGGCGCACTTGCGAGCGATGGCGGACGCCATACGATCATCCTAAGGCCCGCGTCTTGCTTAGCCTTGTTGGAAAAGGTCGGTCGATTCGTGAAGTTAAACCCTGAGCCGGCTAGTCAGCGTACCCACCTTTAGGCCAAAAGACTCCCTCGCGACGCTCTGATGCCGCATACTACTGCTTCTTCTCCCTCGCCCGCCCGTCTCGAAGCTACGTCGAGACCTCTTCCCACCACCACCACTCCTCCACCCACCCTCTCCACCACCACTCCCTCCGCACATCGCTCCGGCTCCCGCAGCGCGCCGCTTTCCCGCCCAGCGCCCGCTGCCCCTGCCCGCCCTGTGCCTGCCGCCCCGGCTCTGTTGCCTCGCCCAACCCAGCCGGCCGACCCCAGCCCGCACCCGCAGACTCGCCCTCCACCGCGGTCTGGGAGACTTCAGCTGGTTGTCTCGCCGCCGCTCCGAGCCTGACCCGCACGAGTGGAAAAGGCACTCGCCCGACGAAGCGTCATCGCCGCCCCAAGCCCACGCCTCCGCAGCACCAAGCCCTGCGAGGCCGCAAATCGCTGACCAGGAATCGCGCGACGGTCCCGACAATCCGAGTGCGCAATCGGTGAAGGTGCTGCCACAGACGCAGAGCGTGCCCCATCCGGAAACGCCGTCTCACAATCCCTCCGCGCCACTCAAAACTACGGCCTCACCCCGCCGACTGTCGAGTGCCGCGCACAGCAGCTCCCGCGACTCGTCCATTGACCACGGCGTGCGTCAGCATTCCCGCCTTCTATAAACCTCGAGAAGCCCGCCTCCGTCTCTCCAGCACAGCACCCCGCTCGCGCCAAGGATCCCAAGATGCATCAGACTTCGTCGAGATTGCTTCGGATGACCGATGATGATCGGCCATTCACGAGAGTAAGTCCATTGCCCCCTTTCCGCTTCGCATTCTGCCCGCCCGTGTTCCCATTTTGTTCCTGGCTCGATGGCGGAGCAATTGAGCGTCCAATGCGACGCTGCGGGGCCGCGGACGGCGACACGGGGTGAGGGGATGGCCGTGGCCATTGGCCTTCGGCCGCTGAGCGTCCTGCCGTTGCTGTCCCACAAGCCTCCCGCCCTTCCGGAGTTCCACCATGGCTCTCGGAGCACGTTTCTTAGACCGACAGGCGTCATCGACTGGGCGAGACATCCGATCGCTTCGGATCTGAAAACGTGTCGGGAGCGGAACATTGATCTGTCGTTGCGTTGCTTTTTTGATCGCTTGCCGCCTCCCGGGATCCGAACGCAGCTGACACATCCGCCTGCAGGATTTCAAAGATCTCTTCTCCACGCTCATGGTCAGCCTGCCCCTGACGCCGCATCGCGTAAGATGGCAAAAGGTCGATCACAGTTTCACGTCGGAGGAGGCCATGACGAACCTTGGCTCGCTAAAGTTTTCGCAATCGAACCGCATGCCGGATCCGAAGGATCCTTCCAGGATTGTCACCACCACCACCACGACCACTTTCTCAATGGCCAAGGAGATGGCTCGCTCGGTTTGCCAGAAGTTCTTGGAGGCTCGCTTTATTGAGTCTGTTGAAGGAAAGTCGGATTTCATGTCGAAGACGTCGGTTTGGCAAATGACCCCTAAGGGAATGCACGTGCTGCAGCGCTTCTGCCAGCGCAACGGCATCAACCAGAAGCACGTCTACGAGGTCCTCGACTCTCCTCGCAACACGATGCACTTGGTCATTCTGGAGCGTGAGACCGAGACGGATAAGCTTAACCACGATAATGCCACGACCGAGGTCGTGTTCCGTCGTTTCGTCGGCCAGGAAGGCCCCAATGCCAAGGCAAACACTGCCCAGGCTGATTCGGATTCGCTGAATGAGTACTCGACTGGTCTGGTCGGTGTCAAGATGGCAAGAGAGCGCAAGATTGGCGATAAGGTCTACATGAACACGTTCACCGGAAAGGCCGCCGTGGACTGGCTTATGGACTGCAGTACTATGGTTGACAAGAGGGAAGCGTTTGAGATGTGCTCGCTGTTCTACGAGTTCGGTCTCATGGCACCCGTCGAGGCGTTCCCTAACAGCGGCCGCTTCCAGCCCACCAAGAGCGCCATCTACTACGTCACGGAGAAGGGCCAGAGGATTGCCGGCTGGATCCAGAGCCCGAAGACGTCGCTCAACGGCGATTCCGCACCTGCCGCCAACAGGCCCCGTGAAGGCACGACCAGGGATTCCAACGCCAACCGCATGACCGTCATCATCCGCGACCCGGCACTCCGCCTGCTTTTCAGAGAATTCCTTCGGGAAACGCACTGCGAGGAGAACTTGTCTTTCTACTTGGATGTCAGCGAGTTCCTGGGTGGTTACAAGGCTGCGAAGAGAGTGGCCTCGACGCCGAAGCTCGAGATCATCAGGGAGACGCTCGCAGCAGCATACAGTGAGTTCCCCTTGCAAAGATGAAGGAAATCTCGTCCTAACCCGAATAGGCTTATACAATGCTTTCCTTGCCCCTGGCTCTCCTTGCGAACTCAACATCGACCACAGCTTGAGAACGGCGCTTGCCGCCCGCATGACCCGCGCCGTTGGTGACGACGAGGCTATGGTGAGGAGCTTGGACGAAGTTGCGACCCTGTTTGATCAGGCACAAAACTCGGTCTTCAAGCTCATGGCTAGCGTAAGTGCTCTACACAACATGATGTACCACCGGATGGTGTTCTCACAACTCTGCAGGACTCCGTTCCCAAGTTCATGAGGGAACCCAAGTATGCCTCGGTCATCCGCGACCGCAACCTGGATGCCGCCCCTGCCGTGGCCACCTCATAAAAGCGAAGCGAAGCCTGTGCCTCGATCGCCCCAATCCGAATCAGATGCCATCCCACGCTCCGACGCGCGCGTCCCCACGCCCGCCAAGTCACAATGGATACCACAACATACCGGCGGGTACCCGCGCGCAGGAGTCGGCCCCGCGGCAGATGCGGGAACAGCGCATGAGTCTCCTTGGAGGCTCTGCACGGGCCTGCGCTTTCGCGTGCAGGCGATGGAGCCTCCCGGGATGGGGCCCATTACAACCTTCGGTTCATACTTGTCTTTCTCGCTATTCATATTCTGCTCAAGATTGGGTTCTTCGATATCCATGTTCGCATTGGGTCCGCAAGGGCCCTCTCCACTCTTTCCTATTGGCTTTTTGCACTTTCTAGTATGATGTCTGCTTTTTTCTTGCGCGACATTCACGGCACACGGGTCTAGACTGGCGTTTCCGGGACTTTTGAAAAACAAGAGCTTTTCATAGTTGGATAGCCTAGACTCAGGCTATTCCGCGCGTTTTACCTATTTGGATTGGAAAGGGTTTTAGTTCAGGGGGCGGTGGGGGGATTTAGTGGCAAGCAACGGGGCCTGGGGAAGGAAGAGCGCTAGAGAGTTTTGAGTCGAGGCTCTGCAACGCCGACATGTATCATACTGTCTAGGAATCAACGAACCTGCAAAATCGCACACCCAGAACCGCGTGCCGACCCTGTGTGGTGATGATGTAATCTTGGGCGGCGAGCGTGCCCCGTGCTTCTGATTTTAACGCGAAAAGGCGCGACTGCCTGCGCGGCTGACTCGTCGCGTCGACGCCCGCCTTTGCACCACCCGCCATGTTGCCATGCGAGGGTTGCGCCCCGCAGAGCATATAAACGCCGCGCCTGTTGCCTGGTAACCGCTCCGACCCGTCTTCTCCGCCTCCGTCAACCGCAATGGGACCTCCGCCGAACGTGAGTCGCGCCCTCCTTCGCCATGCTCGCAGCGCCGCAAGAGCACCACATGGCGAGATGTATTGGTATTGCTAACGTGTAAGCTCTATAGTCACAGGTGGCGCCTTTGCCAAAAGACCTGCCCTTCCGCGTCGTGTCCAAGACCATAGGACAAGGCGCGTATGCGTTGTAGGTGTCTCAGTATATCTGGCACACGACCCGGGCTGACGGTAGAGCACACAGCATCCGCAAGGCCGCCCCTCTGACCGCGTCAAGCCCCGTCATCGCCGTCAAGTTCATCAACAAAGAGCATGCCTACCGCACCGGGCGCCTGAAACCGAACCAGATCCAGCACGAGGTTACCCTCCACAAGCACCTGGGCCGGCACCACAATGTGATACAGTATCTCAGCCACGGCGAAGACCGCCTGTACACTTGGATAGCCATGGAGCTGGCGGAGGGTGGCGACCTGTTCGACAAGATCGAGGCCGACGAGGGCGTGGGCGAGGACGTGGCACACCTGTACTTCACGCAGCTGGTCAACGCCGTGAGCTACATGCACTCCAAGGGCGTGGCGCACCGCGACATCAAGCCGGAGAACATGCTGCTGTCCCTTGACGGCGACCTTAAGCTGTCCGACTTTGGCCTGGCCGCCCTGTTTCAGAACAACGGCAAGAAGCGTCTTTGCAACAGCGTGTGCGGCAGCCCGCCTTATATTGCTCCGGAAATTGTCGCCGGGAAGAAGTCCAAGGCCATTGACGTGCTAGACAAGGGCTACGAGCCCAACATTGCCGACGTCTGGTCCTGTGGCATCGTGCTCTTTGTGCTTCTGGCCGGCAACACGCCATGGGACGAGCCGACACGTGCCAGCTACGAGTTCAATGAGTTCTTGCAGACCAAGGGCCGCACGACGGACGAGCTGTGGAAGAAACTTCCTCCAGGCGCCACGTCCTTGCTACGTGGAATGCTCAAAATAGATCCTCAGGAGCGCTTCACGCTGGACGAGATCCGGACGCATCCCTGGTACACACGCAGCAACCCTCACCTCAGCCAGTCGGGCACGGCAGCAAACCCCATCCTCCTTGCAACGCAAATGCTGGAGTCGCTACGCATCGACTTCAACGCCGACCCAACAGCGTCACAGCGCGAGCACCAACAGCGCTACAGGGACGCCATGGAGACAGGGAACCAGCCCGTCAGATTTGCAGCCACACAGCCGGAGACGCTCATCGTTGACACGCCCTTCGAGTGGGAGCGGCCGCCACGACTAGCCATCAGCGAGAACTTCAGCGCCTCGCAGCCGGCGCCAGAGCGAATGTTGACGACTTCGGTGGTTAACGGATCGCGGGCGCCGCAGCACGCTCCAGCAGGAACAGCCCGCCTGTCGCACGAGGTGCTTGGCCGCCTGGCGGACGACCCGTCGCTTTCGCAATTCACGCCCATGCCAGCGGTGCCGTTGAGCCTGACGCAGGCCGCCCGTCACTTCGGGGATATCATGCCTCGGCACTCCTTGGCACGCTTTTTCAGCTCGCTGCCCTTCAACTTGCTCCTGCCCTCGCTGGGCGAGGCGCTGCACCGCCTGGGTGTCCCCGTCGCGCCGTTCTCGCCCAGCGCCCTGCAAGGCCGAGACGCGGAGGCGTACATCCGGGTCAAGACGGTAGACGGCCGCCAGCAGACTTTGCACGGTACCATCATCGTGGAGCGCGTCGATCACGATCTCAGCGAGGTAAGATTCGCAAAGGCGAAGGGCGATCCGTTGGAGTGGCGGAGGTTCTTCAAGAAGGTCGTCGTGCTGTGCAAGGATGCTATCGTCGTGCCTCCTTGACCGGGCATTCGGCACACACATACGATAGCACGAGCTTATGAGTTACTGCATTCTTTCATATTTATTTGCTTTTTATCGAAACCATTGGATAGATATTGCTTTTCATTCCTCGCGAAGGGATAGGAGCATTAATGACTGGTTGCGAGATTTGGATATACCCTGAGCAAAAGTTTGAGAAAAGCGCTCGAATGCTAGTTTGGACTAGAAACAAATGCAAAATTGCCATTCTTTCCGTTTGGTTTTGTTCATCCTCTTTATTGCACAGATGAGGAGACGTAGAGCGCATGGATGATAATGTAAAAACTGGAGGTCGGGTAAGGATGCCTCACTTATAGACATTTCTGTTGGTGGCTTTCTTGCCCGTCTCTTTATATCCATGCTGGTCCCTGCTTGAAAAGAATGTCCTTTTCAATCTGGATGATGATGATTGGGGGTATTTGTTCATAAAGATTCGTCCTTGGTGCTAGACACTTCTGGCCCTTGAGGGTCTCGTCGAAGACCATAGCCCTCTCACATGGAGGGAGTGGGGTATTTCAGTTGACCTAATGGCATCACGGTCGGTCATTGTGCCCTCCTGTCGTATTCTCAAGGGAACCCACAAAAGTAACAGGCATTTGCCTTCAGCCCTGAGTGGGGTTTCCAAGAAGAGAAGGGATGGTCGTGAAGTGGGTACTTAGCATTAACGTCAGGTTGTCTCGAAAGGCTGGTAGAGTGGTTAATGCGTTTCGACCTTCGCCTTCGAATTTAATACCCTCCCTGTAAAGGGCGAACCACATCTTATTGGTGAAGCATGGGTTTGGATTTGACGAGAAATGTGCTTCCGCTGATCATGATCCATCTACTCTCTGGATAAGAGTTGTTAGGTGAGCAAGACAGTAGTAAATCAACGATCTTTACATACCAGTAAAAAGATGTAAGAAAGAAAGACGAATTGACACACCAACTTCGGACCGTGCCGAAGATACGTTTGAAGTTGGCCACATCTTCCGGCTACATACACTTGAAGGAAGAACGCGATGGATTGATGTATTTGAATCCTGGCTTCATTCTCCTGTCAATTACAGTAAGTTCGTACAAAGAAATATAATGAATAACGCATTCTTGGTTGGGGAAAGAATCATTTGGTAGTGAACGCGGCCTTCAAGTGCGGCCTTCAAGTGCGGCCTTCAAGTGGATATTGAAGTAATGACTAGCCACATTCAATTGTGTTATACCATACTGGTGTTCGTGAACCAATAGCAAAGCTAACACAAGACAAGGACACAGATGATCTCAACAGCGGTCTCTACTCACGGATCTTTCGTTTTTATGGGAGTTAGAGCTCGCCGTAGTGTTGAGAGTTGTGCTGTTCCGAGGAGTGGAATTTGCGGTGCGAGCAGTTGCTGTTGCTACGGCTGCTATACTCCTATTTGTATATATCTTAACACAGTGATGTATACGAACTGTATCAGCAGCCGCGTATATTCACTCAAGATACTAGGAAAATCAGTAGCCCTTTCATAAAGTCCCCCTCGAATATCATCAAGTCTGAGAGCTCGTGTTAACGAATGATTTAGCATGAAACAATTCACTGTGCGGCAGTGCAATCATTTAGACCATTTCAAAGACGTAGCTACTTTTGCAGCTGCATTGATTCGATTATTCGAGGATCCTTTTCGTCAGGGGAAAAGAACCTGATGATCCAGCTACCTCCTATTCCAGCATCCAGCAGGTATCCACCATGCTACCTCTCACATCTTTACATCATTAAGAGTGAGGTATCCGCACCTTTTTCAGCATCCGTCGTCCATCATGGTTTAAAAAAAAGAAACGAGCCCACTTGCTTGCAACCGGCCTTTTTCTTTCGCTCCGTCCTCTAAGCTTCACTTTGCGGGGGGAAAATAAAAGAAGAATGAAGATGTTGTGATATTCCAAGCCCCAAACACCATGTTTTTTGATTCCCACCCGAAACAATGCCTCATGATGCGTGAGTTTCTCAAAAGCACGGCTTTCCGGCCCACCGATTCTCTCTTTCTTTTTCCGCTCTGGGAAATCAGGCCGTTTTTGATTTCTGTGAGCTAGGCTCACTGCTGCTCGCGGTTCTGGCGGCCACCCTTCCTGCGCTCGCCCTGGCCCTTCTGGCCACCTTCGCCGGCAAGGGCGTCGCCGCCGCCGAGGGTAAGAGCAGCGGTTGCTAATCTGTTGGACAGGTCGATCTGGGTGCGGATGGTGTTGGCGAGGTACGAGACAACGAGAACGTCTTGGATGTGGTTGTTGCTGCGGCACGTTAGCACTCTTGGGGGGAACAAAGCAGCTGTAGGGGTTCACGTACAAATCGCGCTCGATGTCGGCCGGGTCGACCTTGGGGGTCAGGGAGAGGGCGTTCATGAGGAACTGGCCGAGGGCGCTCGAAGGCTGGGCCTCCTCGTCCAGGACGTTGTTGACGTAGTTGGAGACGCGGTCGAGCATCTCCAGGACCTGCTCGACGGCGCGCTCCAGCGACTCAATGTCGGTGAGGATGGCCTGCTCGCGGCCTTCGGAGTCCTTGGCAGTGGAGATGAGCTCCAGACCGCTCTTCTCGGCCTCACCGTACTTGATCTCGTGGGGCACGGGGATGAACAGGCAGCTGTCGGCGGCGCGCTCGGCGGTGACGCCAATGGGGGCGGAGATGTAGGTGCGGGCCTCGATGTCCTTGCCGGGGACGGTGGACACGGTCAGGTGGACGGCCGGGTGCGGCCAGGTGCCGTCGCCCTGCTGGCCGTAGAAGTTCTGGATCAGGGCGGAGAAGGTGTTGAGCTCGGCCGACGTGGCGTACCAGCCGACCAGGACCTCGCGCGGGTTGGCGCGCAGGTGCAGCTGCAGCATCTGCTTCTGGTAGTCCATGTCGACCTCGACCTGCTCCTGGGTCTCGGTGTGGGGGACGGCGTAGCAGTTGCGGATCTCGATCTCGGAGCCATCCTCGCTGCGGACACCGAGCAGGGTGCCGATGACGCGCTCCTGGTCGGGGTTGCGGCGCAGCGAGTGGTCAAGGATGGAGAAGAGAGCCTGGGCTGGGGTCAACGAGCTGCGCGAGGGCGTGAGCGAGAGGCGGACGCACCTGAGGCTGGATCACGACGTTGAGTGGGGCCGACGACGGCTGGGCGCCGATGTGCGCGGGGCCCAGCGGGCGGGCGAGGTGCAGGAAAGAGTCGGATTCGGCCATGGTGTCGATTCAGGCGGGGACGGGGCGCGGACGGGGGGCGGCGGAGGGCGTGGAGGTTGAGGCTGGAATATCTTTTGACGATACCCGGCGTTGGCGCGCGCACAGATGGTGTGTGGATATTCGGTGCGAATTTGAGAGTCAAGCGATTAGATAACTACGGCCGCCCGCGCGCCCACCCGCGCAAAAACTTTTTGTGCACACCATCCGCTGCTGCTCTTCCCGCCACACAGCAACCCAAGCAGATGGCGCCGTTCCGTGGAAGAGGAGCCTTCAGAGGCCGCGGCCGCGGCAGGGGCGGCGCGCGTGCAGCCCCCCGAGACCGCTTCACCAAATCCCGAATCGAGGACCCAGTGAGCGATTCTGACAGCCCGGATGTTGAAGATGAGCCCATGCAATCCGACCCGGACGACGATCTCTCAAGCGATGACGATGAGGAAGATGACCAGCCTGCGACCGTTGCTCGTCCCTACTCCGCTCTGCTCCAATCGCTCCAGCAGGACATCCCGGAAGGCCCCAAAAAGAAGAGAAGAAAGCTCGACCATCAGTCAGCTGCCACTTCCCCACCGGTCGAACTTGAGGGAGAGGCCGAACCCGAGGATGAAGCAGACGAAGATGATGCCGCTGCACCTGAGGATGCCGCAGATGCTGACGACGACGACGAGGAAGACATCTCGGATCCGTTCGAGGCGCATTTTGCACGTCCGGAGGAGAACGAACTGGCCGCGAAGCTCAAGGCCGTCTCCGAGAAACGCTGGGAAACGCGCAAGTCCCAGGTGCCCGGTCTTGGAAGGTGTGCGACTCTGACCCCTGGTGCCGCGGAGCCTCCAAAGAAAGCCGTGTCTTCTCCCGAGCACTTAAAGATCAAGCGGAAGCTTGCTGCCAGAGCAAAGGAGCTCATGCCCGAGTTCAACGACCTCCAGAAGGGACTGGCTGCGCCGCTATTCGCTTACCAGGACATCCTGTTTGGAGCTAGAACACCCCAGAACGCTGAGAGCCTTCGCCAAATCACCTGCTTGCATGCACTGAACCACATCTTCAAGACAAGGGACAGGGTTCTGAAGAACAATGCTCGTCTTGCGAAGGAGCAGGATAGTGAAAGCCTTGAACTCAGGGATCAGGGCTTCACAAGACCCAAGGTCCTGATGTTGTTTGAGACGAGGCAAAATTGTGCCAAAGCCGTCGAAACCATCATGCAGCTTTGTGAACCGGAGCAACAGGAGAACAAGAAGCGCTTCCTCGACAATTTCTCGCACGACGATGACAGATTCGAGGATAAGCCCGAGGATTTCCGGGAACTCTTCGAAGGAAATGATGATAATGAGTACCGTATCGGCTTGAAGTTCACGCGGAAAACTGTGAAGTTCTTCTCGGCATTCTACAACTCCGACATAATCTTTGCCAGTCCTCTTGGTCTGCGCAGAGCCATTGAGGCGGGCGGAAAGTGAGTACCTACTACCACGTACATCGTGTTGCTTGAGCTAAAATCTTCTGCAGCAAAAAGAAGCAAGACTACGACTATCTCTCCTCCATTGAGGTAGTCATTTTGGATCAGACTGACGCTATGCTGATGCAAAATTGGGAACACGTGGAGTACGTCATGGAACATTTGAATCTCCAACCCAAGGACTCCCATGGCTGCGACTTCAGCCGTGTTCGCCAATGGTACCTCGAAAACCAGGCTGCTCATTTGCGTCAAACCATTGTTCTCTCCGCCTATCTGCAGCCCGAACTCAACAGCCTCTTCAACAACCACATGCGCAACGTCGCTGGCAAGGTCAAGTTCCAACCAGAATACGAAGGCGCCATTCTCGACATCGGCCTGCAAATCAAGCAGACCTTCTCGCGCTACGACTCGGTTTCACCAACATCGGACCCGGACGACCGCTTCAAGTACTTCACCAGCGCCATCATCCCCGCATTGACTCGACTTCCCAAGCCTTCAGAAGGTGGCCAAGGCGTCCTGATCTTCATCCCCTCGTACCTTGATTTCGTGCGCGTGCGTAACTACTTCGCCACCTCCACCACCACACAGAACATCTCCTTCGGCGCTGTCTCTGAATATACGGAACAAGCGGATGTGCGTAGAGCACGTTCGCATTTCTTGACCGGCCGTCACTCTGTGCTGCTGTACACCGGCCGTGCGCATCACTTCCGTCGGTATCTCATCAAGGGCGTGAAGCGCGTCGTTATGTATGCGCTGCCGGAGAACCCCGTTTTTTACAAGGAGCTAGTGAGCGGCTTTCTGGGTAGCTCAATTGCGGAGGGCAGGATCGACCCAAGCGAGGCTAACGTGAGGGCGGTGTTTTCGAAGTGGGATGGCTTGAGGCTGGAAAGGATTGTGGGCACGAAGAGGGTTGCCGGCATGCTGAGAGAGAAGAGTGGTGATACCTTTGATTTCATCTAAAAAGCGTGAATACTTTCTGTTTGTGTATATAATCTTAGAATCTTCTCTGATAGAGCAGCTTGGGGCCAAAAAAGTGTTTGTTTGTTCACGATGGATGTATCCTTGCGGGTAGTCAAGTCCCGATTTAGATACAAATGTCTATCTGTACCCAAAGAGCTTTACTTCCATGCCTCTTTTCATCAACACACTCTTGTATATTTTGTGAAATGCGTTCCGAGCTGCGTGTCTACACAGATGGTATAAAGTCATGTCGTCCTCCTGAACTCCCAGAAAACCGAAAAGAAAAAAAAAAAGGAAGCGTTAGTTTTCATCCCACATGCCAACATAAAGGTACCGACTCCAACATCAGGCCTCAGTGGGCCTTGAAGTCTTTCGCTCCCAAACGCCGTTAATGCCCGCTTCAGCACCCCATCTCTCTATTCATCACCACCCGAAATGCTGCCAAACGGCTTCGCACCACCCGCAGCAGCACCGTCATCATCCACCTCCCGATACGGCGGCGGCGAAGACGGAGCCACCTCCAGATTCCGTGCTGACACCCTTACCGAGCGCCTCCCAGCCTCGAACCCGGCAGCATAAGCGAGCTGCTCAGTGCCGGGCAGCGGCACATGATCGCAGTACCCCGGCAACGCCTCCTGCTCCTCCTGCTCCTGCCGCCTCTCCCCCTCCTCCTCCTCCTCATCAACGCCACCAAGCAGCCTCTCCTCAGCCTCGATTTCCCTCCTCTCGCGGCGCTCGCGGCGCCTGAGCACGCACCACGTGACGGCCGTCGACAGCGGCAGCAGCACGGCGACCCAGCGCAGCATCCACACGCCGAGGTTGGGGAAGCCGTCGTCGAGGCCGTACGTGGGCAGCACCAGCACCGCCGTCATCCCCATGCCGATGACGCCGCCGCCGTACGTGCAGATGGCGACCCCCACGGGCAGCGCCGCCCGCGACCCGCGTCGCAGCCGCAGCGACAGCGCAAGCACCACGGCCGCGTTCAGCAGCAGCCACGTCACGTGGAAGCTGCCTTCGGCGATGCTGTATTGCGTCCCTGTTGCTGAGGGGGAGGGTTAGTTTTTTTTTTTCTGGGATGCTGGTGGTAGTAGTAGTAGCAGGGAAACTCACTCATGATGGGCGGAGTTTCCGGATGTGAATTTGCCGAGTCGGCGGTAGAGGAACGTGGGCAGTAGGAACGCGGGTATCAAATTGGATGGTTGCCCTTCTAGAAGTGTGTGGAGTGGTGGTTCTGTGAGCACTTGCGCAGAAGTACCAGGTACTCTCAAAACATTTAAGAACGTAGCCTGGGGAAAAGACGAAAAAAGGAACGGCACAGCGGACGAGGCTGTGTGAGCACTTATGACTTGAGCTCGGATGTCGGGATGGCGCGGTCGTCTTGCATCGCCCTGCGGCTGTTACCTTGGCGAAGGATTTGGGGGCTAGTACTCCCCCAGGTCTCTCTGTTGCATTTCTATCCGCGTAACCAATGACCTCACCGCTGGGCTGACTGCCGCAACACCGTTGCTAAGCCCTGCCGCTGCCTCAAGGCAGACTTGCGGACCCGAGGGAAAAGCGAGAGTCGTCAGGCAACCAACACCATGACTAAGCCATACAACCGAAACCTGCCGTTGTCGACGAGTCAGTAGTACAAGAGTAACGATGCGAAGTAGAGACGCTCACATGTCGTAGCCCTAATGATTAATTAAATCTATGCGTACCTAAAAAGAAGCGGGAAAATGCCAAGTCACATTTGGGTATCTCTCCAGCTCTTTCCTCCACTGAGAAGCCGGTATGATACACCGCCACATATGTTGATGTCGTTCCGGGAGGTCAAGAAGAGCAAACTGAAGTAAGAAATGAAATAGTCCTCTCACACAACCACTGGAAGAGAGGGGAAATGCGCGCCCAATGTAGAAAAAGTGGAAACTCCGTACACACCATACCGTCATCTATACCGGCCCACGCTTCGATTAATAAGAACCTACAGAAATGCTTCATTGTCGATTTTGATTTTCATGCTTTTTTTCTTTCCTTCGTTACTTGTCTTTTCCCACCATCTCATTCGATTATGAAGTCGACGGGGGCTCGCCCAGGCGAAGGGCGAGCAGCGCACGCAAGTCTGTGACATGCTGAAGACCCTCAAGAAGCGGAATCAAATGCAGGAGGTCGTTATCCGTAGGATCGCTAATCCAACCCTCTATCGGGATCGCGTTGTCTGCGTTGATGGAGAAGTTAACAACGAAAACCACATTCCGGCAAAGTTTGATACGGGGGTGCATTACCTTCATGGAAGATGTAACTCATGGGGCTGTTGTCTACAATCATGACTTTGCTGAGGTCAGGCTCAACTTGACTGAGGTCTTTGATGTACGCGCCATTGCGGAAAGTACAGTGCTGCCGGTAGTAGCGGCCCGCGAAGTACTTCCGCTCTAGCTCTAGCCAGTCGATAACAGGATCCGCATATTCTTGCACCGACGCCGTGAAAATGATCAAGTTGTACCATTTAGAAACCTTACGCAGGAAATCGTCACAGTGTGGCCGCTTGTGCACGTAGTAGAGAATGGGCACTTGAGGGCCAATGACCTGGTTACCAGAGCCAACCGTTTGGTTGAGTTTCACCTCAACCATGTGACCAGTGGTGTACCGGCCGCCCTTTGCCATACTGTGGATCAATGTCTCGTCGAGATCAAGAATCAGGGTCTTCTCGTGCGGACCAAAGTTGGGTGGTGCATGTCTGCCGGAATATGACGGCTGACGGCGCGGCACAAGAGGACGGGGCGGAACAGGCGCGCGCGGGAACTTGAGCTTCGAAGCAGAACCAGGGCTGCCTGGGGACTTGACGGCAGCGGCGGCAGCCTCATGGGGCGTCAATTCGCCCGAGGCCTTGGACGACGTGCTGCCCTTGCGTTGCTTTCGCTTCCTCAAAGTATCCTCGTTGTGCAGCTTGATTCGTATCGAGCGCCTCGCAGGAGCAATCTCGTCTATCGAGGATGTCGAAGACTTGGATCTCGTGTGTCGGGCGGGAGAGTCTCCATCGCGTGTCGAGGGCCTTTCGCTCTCCGAGTCCGAGGTCATGGCAACTGAGCTTGTGGTTGACGATACCGAAGGCGATCTTCTTGGAGACTTCCTCAGCGGTTTTCCAGTTCTTCTGTCGAATCGGTCGTCAGTCGGATCATCATAGTCCATGGCGTGCGTCGATTGGTTTCGTTTCTTGCGTGGGATCATGCGAGTGAGGCGGTACAGCGGAAGCAGGGTAGAGAAATTGCCGTTATCATCGTAAAAGCAAGCGGCAAGGTACTGGACGGGAGCAATAACAACAGCAAACACGGCGCGGAAGCCGCCGAGGAGGGCGGTGGCGAGACGTTTCGGGATCATCCACGTGCTCCACGTCTTGGTATCGCCAAAGGGCTCGGGCTCGTCCATGAGCGGTGTCTTCTCGTCGGGCTGCGCATCGTCCTCATTGGTGGTGCTGTCGTCCAGGCTCAAGCCGAGGCCCTTCTCCGAAAGGGCGGCACCGGCCCCGAGCTTGACATCCTCGGTGTAGCTCCTCCCACGAGTACGCGAGGGTTGACCGGGCTTGGTGATGTCGCTCTCGGAGCCGGCGCGAGAGCGTGGGGGGCTTGGTGGAGGTGTTGAGCCGATCGCCGAGAGGATGTTGAGCGAGTTCATAGTCCGGAGCAAGCCATGAAAGAGCAGCAAAACGAGGCTGTAGAGGAGCAGCAGCTTGAATCCCGTCTCGGAGCGGCGGGGATTTGCGCTGCGCGTGTTTGAGGAGTGCTTGTGCTCTCGGGGTGCGGGCGCGGACGGGCGCGGGCGGACGAGGCGAGCAGCGAAGGGCGGGGCGCGGCGGAGGGGAGTCGCAACGGAAGAGGCCTCGAAGGCGCGCCGGCGGATGTGCGCCGCGGGTTCGTCAGGAATGCAGGAATGGTGTTGGGGCTGGGCTGGCGAGCGGACGGGGAGGACAGACTGTGGAGAGAGCTTCGCCCACGCATGACGCCGCCAGCGCCCGCGCCAGCGCCAAACCCGGCGGGAAAACACCAGCCGAGTCAGACAGAACAAAAGTCGGCGAGACGGTATACTGCTCCTCCCCACCACCTGCGCCAGCGCGTGACCCTTGCAGAACCCAAATTGCACCTGCGCCTGGCTGTGACACCGCGCACAGCCGCCCGAGCGCCCGCGTTTGCTCCGCCGCCAAAAGTCCCCCACCACCGCCCGCCAACGTCACAGCTCGCCGCCAAATTTACCTCTTGCGCCTTCTGCCCTTCCGCGCCCTTTACGACCCGCAGGAAGTGCTGCCGGAGCGACAATGCCTTCTCCCGCCATCGCAAACACGCCGGGCCTGGCCTCATTCCTGAAGTCGCTCAAGGCCAACCCCGTCGAGTCATCGATTGAGCACTTCATATCGTGAGCTATCCACCCACATTTCACCCGCGATGCGAACTCTTATTTTTGTTCCAGCCTCCTCAAACGCCGCCAGATCCGCAACTCGAGGCCTTGCGCCATCGCAACCGCCCAACTCCTCCGCCGCGTTGTACAAGAGTTCAAAGGAAAAGATGCCGCCAAGCTGATCCGCCGCATCAAGGAAGTCGGCCACCGCCTGACGTCTGCTCAGCCGCGCGAAATGTCTGTTGGCAATATTGTGCGCCGTGTGCTCGGCCTGGTCAGAGAAGTCTTGGAGGAAGGCGAGAGCGGCGCCGCTATGAGCGACGCAGGCGTTAGCACTCCCGGCCAGCAAACACCACACGACTCGCTGCAGCGCCCCGGCCTGAACTCGACCATTTCTACCTTCAGCCCGCTCAAGCATGGCTCTGCCCAGCCCGCCGATTTGACCCTCCACCTGGAGACTGCAAGCGATTCAACCGACATGTCTCACCGACCTCCGCTCCTCTCCTCCCACACTAGCTACGGCGGCTCCCTGTTTGGTCTATTCTCCCAGCCCGAAACTGCCAATGCCTCACCCTCCGCCACACCAGCTGGCGCAAGAACTCCCAGCGGCAAGGCTCCTCTTACTGCGGGGAATCTTGCTGGCCTGGGAGATTCGACTACCAAGAAAGAGGACCTAAAGGCCGAGACGCTGGAGGGCATCAACGAGCTTCTGGACGAGCTGGAGCAGGTCGACGAACAAATTGCAGAATACGCACTGCAACACATCCACTCGGACGAAATCATCCTGACGCATACCTCATCCATGACCATTCAGAAATTCCTTCTGACGGCGGCGAAGAAGCGCAAGTTTACCGTCATCCACGTTGAGGCCTACCCCAATGATAGCGACAATACCCATGCCACCGTTCTCACTGGACGCAAGCGCAACGAGGAGGACGAGGACAGCGACGAGCGCTTTAAGCCGCTGACCGCCGCCGGCATTACCGTCATCTTGATTCCCGAGTCCGCCGTCTTCGCCATCATGTCCCGCGTCAATAAGGTCATCTTGGCAACCCATGCTGTCCTTGCCAATGGTGGCCTTGTCGCTGCTGTGGGCGCTCGCACCATCGCGAAGGCCGCAAAGATGCACCAGACACCCGTCGTCGTCGTCAGCGGTGTCTACAAGCTCTCCCCCGTGTATCCATTTGACGTTGAAGAACTCATTGAGTATGGAGATGCTGGTGCCGTGGTTCCTTATGACGACGGCGATTTTGTTGAGAAGGTCGACGTCGTAAACCCGCTGTTCGACTACGTCCCCGCTGATCTCGTCGACCTGTACATCACAAACTTGGGCGGCCATGCCCCTAGCTATCTCTACAGGATTGTGGCCGACCACTACCGCGCTGAGGATGTCAATCTGTAAGCGATGGTAGCACAAGCGTCAAGGCGCACATCCACAAGAGGAACATGACCGTGGTGGGCAGTTAGCCACCCCAGCTCTCGGAGCCCTGATGGTTGATTTCCGAGGGCTTGCGACTCCAGTCGGAGGAAGACGATCCGCAAAGTGCCGACTATGGAAGAGTCGAGTTGGGGACCCTCAATTGAGTAGGAGTGTGAGGTTAGTATGCAGCTGCTGTGTGTTGGGACCAAAAAGATGAATCAAGCCACTTGGCAATTTGAAGAGGCTGAAAAAGCAAGCATATGGATAAGTAAAGAAATAGAATCATCAGTTGGAAGATCTGGCCATAACGCATGTGACGTTCTCTGCCGCATAACTTCCAACACAGCAGAAAAATCACGCATTTCTTGGCATCACGCGGTTTCCAGCACGGAACTCGAGCTGTACATGCACATCGAACGGCCCAACGGAATGCGTCCCGTATCGTAGCGAATGGGTGTGATTCCGACCTGGTTGATAAGCTTGCATGATTGCCAAGAAATAAGATAGTGGCATTTTTCTCTGCAGTCCAAGTATGATGGAACTCAACCACTGCCATTTTAACGTACTTTACCCACATTTCTGATAAGCATTCGTTTTTTCAAGGTGGAGACGGGAATCAACTTTCTTGTTACTGTTTAGAAATTTCTCCAAAGGGTCTCTATTTCCACCTGATTAGTTGCCATTTTCAGGGCCCTCATGTTTGAAAATTCTTCGGTTCTATTTCGTTATGATCAATGTATGCTCTAAAGAATAGAAGGGATTTTGGCGAATCTTGATACATCTCTTTTATCAAGCTTTGAATGTCCCTTTGAGCCTTGTCTGTACCTTACTTAATTCATCCATAGCGAGCACAAGGTTGGTACGTCGATCTTCTATCAGTCATACGCCGGCGTGTGCTTGACTGTGTTTTATTGGTATTTGGATTCATAGAGAGGCTCTTTCGTGTTGAAAATCTTGTCGATAACTCGTAGACGAAAGTGAGCGTAAACTTGCCCCGAGTGTTTCCTGGTTCCTCATCCTATACGTCCTAGTCGAAGACAACATAGCTAAGCGTAAGAGCCTGAAAGGATCATCTTCCTTGATTAGAGGAATGTATGTGAGGTCCGAAACCTAACGAGGACCTGATTCTATTTGGGTCTCTAGGACATCGTGTGCAAACATCAGGGCCTTAAGAGCAACTTTCACGGGGAGGGGGAGAGTTGACTCACCCCTTATTCTCAGGCACTGTTACACTTCACGCTAGCATGCGGCTCTGATATCCACCTGTGAAGCCAGTATGCAGTAAATTATCCGAGGGCAAGTGGGTTGGAAATATACATACACAGGTCATTCCCCTTTGAGCCCGTCAGCGAGACTTGCAGAGTAGTTGGAAACACCAAAGGACAATTCACCGGAATTAGGAGTTTTGACACAGCTTATTTTTCATTTCACTTGTAGGCAATGGGGAGCCAACGAATAGGCCGAGAAGAAAAACTGAGACGGATATACAGTGCTCTGCAGTCCTACAAATAGGCTATTAAAAGTTGAAGAGATGAGCCCAGTTCTAAACGAAATGTACTTATATTGACGTGCAATTCAACACTTATTTCCTTCGTTTGAACTTCACAGGTTGCGACAAATTAGCACCTATGCCAAGTTGCATATCCACACAACTAGACGGATACAAATGAACTTACAGTAAGGTCTCTCTTCGAACCATTCCATTACCCGCTAAAGAGCAAGGCGGCATGCCGCCTTGCTTACACGGGCCGGCGTAGCCGGCACGGCTGCATCCAAGCAAAGAAGGCCAACCTTCTTAATCTCCTCCGCTTGGTGTAGTTGGT